TCCCTCAGGAGGAGCTGGACACTGCCTAAAGCCCGGGTGAGTTCTCTTTCAGAGCCGTTTCCATGAGCAGTGCTCAGTCCTTCCTTGGTTGTTCGCTGGCGTCGTCCCCGTTCCTGTGTGTTCATGGAGCATCAGTCGGGATGCAGAGCATCGCTGGGGACCAGCAGCCACCTCTGCCCAGGGCAGCCTCCCTGCTGCAGCAGGAACCGGGAGCAAGGCCTCCCCCCGCTGCAATTCTCACTTTGCCCACGAGATGGCGACAGCGAATTGCTCCGAGCAGCAGCCGCCGCCCGAGGCTCCCTCAGCAAGAGGCCGAAGGACACGCCGCGCTGACAGGATGCTTTGAGATGTTTTGCTTTCAGATGCGGTGACCTTGGTTTAAGTGTTCGTGCTTCACATCAGTCAGGGCCTGAGCAGCGCCAAGCACCCATCAGGCACATGGGGGCTTGTAGCTCTCCCCCTACTTTAACCTGAGCTTTCACTGTTTCAGTTTGAGCTCATCACACCTTTTCCTATTGCTACAGTCCCTGATGAAGAGTCCCTCTCCAGCATAGATACTGCATAGATACTGATGCTCTGAGGTCCCCACGCAGCTTCTCTTCTCCAGGCTGAACAACCCCAATGCTCTGATTCGGAGAAAACTCCAGGAACAAACTCACCAACAGTTTCAAGCTGACAAGCAGGTATTCTTTATTGCGGTTCCCAGAGACACGGGGGATAACTCCTCCTAATGTGTGTCCCCGTATTGCTATACAAGCCATCCTTAGGTAGTCCCTGGGCATACATACATATTCATGAGGCTACATATGGTTTACATCATTTTCCAGAAAGTTTCCCGCATGGTACCAGAATGTGGTGCTGGTCTCCGAGGGTCCTTTACTTCTCCCAACGATCTTCATCACTCTGGCAGCCTTTGAAGCACCGGGGTAATTAACACCACAGACATAGCAATCACCCTGTCCTTCTACTTAACAGCTAGTTTAACTGCTTCCATCCCCAGGTCCCTTTTTTCTATTCTGCTTTTCTTAACACTTTCTGTACTGAGGTCCTAAGGACCTAAAACTACACCAACGACCTTCAAGCACCGCAGTTATTGTCCATTACAAAGCCATCAAACTTAGTTACTTAGAACTGATTACATTTTGTGCCTCCTTTGTCTCAGCTCTCACCCTGTCTCCATACAGGAGCTGCTCCAGCCCCTGATCAACCTCGTGGCCTCTCTGGACTTGCTCCCACAGCTCCATGTCCCTCTCATGCTGAGGACCCCAGCACCGCACACAGAGCAGAGCAGAGCAGAGGGGCTGCCTTGCTCACCTCCCTTCCGCAGCACCAGAGCCCTGTGCACATCAAACACCTGTGAAAAACCAGCTCAGGCCTAAACTGCCGCTGGTTCACCCGGAGGAGCAGGGTGATGAACGCGAGGGCTGCTGCTGCTGCCCGCTCTGTCGATGCCGTCCTGGGGACAGAGGTGCTTGCGTGTGGCTCATCCAGACCAAGGCTTTCCCTGGATCTGTGCCCCAGGGCACTGCAACAGCCTCACGTTAACGGAGACAGCGCTGCACCGCTTGCCCCTGGGGCCATGATCGCAGGCATCCTCCCTCCGCATGCTGGAGCTGCTGCTCTGGACGTGAGAGCGCTTTCATCTTCCGTGCCCCTGACCCAAGGAGCCCAAGAGCCGTGCCTGGGGCTGCGAGTGCTCCCGGCCGCATTAACGGAGCCCCCCGGGGCAGAGCTGAGCTGAAGATCTCCGGGTCCAGCCCCCATTTCCTTCGTGTTGAAAGGAAACGAAATTGCAGGGGCTTGGTCCTGCCCCGCATCCCGCTGCGCACACAGAGCTGCCCGGCACCCACCTGGGACCCAGCGGCCCCCGAGCGCCCCTCGGCCGCACTCTGCTGTGGGGCACAGGCTGCACCCGCACCGCGGGCACAAAACCTGCCTGGCTTTAGCCCCGCTCAGCGCATTCGCCCTTCTCTCGCAGCAGGGCGGGGGGAAGCGGGGCAGAGCTCGCAGCGCGGCGGAGGACAGCGCTGGGGCAGGCACCAGGGGCTCCCCCCGGGCTGCTTCGTTTGCCTTTTGGTAGCACAGCGAAACGCGGTGCCCCAGGGGTGGCACGGGCTGAGGGCTCGGGTGCTCTGCAGCCCTGCCTGCGGAACAGGCACCTTAAAGGCTCTCCCTGCATGGCAAATGCTTCCTAACCCCAGCACCACAGCTGTGTGTAACCCATCACCCCAACTGTATGTAACCCCATCACCCCAGCTCTGTGTAACCCCCAGCTGTATGTAACCCCAGCTGTGTGTAACCCAAGCTCTGTGTAACCCCAGCTGTGTGTAACCCAAACTCTGTGTAACCCCAGCTGTGTGTAACCCCAGCAACCCACCTGTGTGTAACCCCAGCACCCCAGCTGTGTGTAACCCATCAACCAAGCTGTGTGTAACCCATCAACCCAGCTGTATGTAACCCAGCACCCAAGCTGTGTGTAACCCATCAACCCAGCTGTGTGTAACCCATCACCCCAGCTGTATGTAACCCATCACTCCAGGTGTATGTAACGCAGCACCCCAGCTGTGTGTAACCCATCACCCCAGCTGTGTGTAACCCCAGCTGTATGTAACCCCCAGCTGTGTGTAACCCCAGCACCCCAGCTGTGTGTAACCCCAGCTGTGTGTAACCCATCACCCCAGCTGTGTGTAACCCCAGCTGTGTGTAACCCCAGCCAAGCAGCTCCATGCAACAGGACTTCAGGTGAGTGCTGCAAGACACCAACCCCAAACCTGCAATGCCCCAGAGAGGAGGTTGTGCAGGTGAGAGACAAAAGGCTTGGGAAGCTCTGCCCCTCATCCCAGCAGCATCCCTGCCCTTCATCCCCACTTGGGACCGCCCCTGGCAGGGCCGGAGGGGCAGGAGGGGGCTGTATAAGGCGGGCAGGCCTTGGGTGAGCACCTCCAAAGGCTCCACTGACTGCTCGAGCCCAGTACTGCAGCGGCACATGGAGGTGTGCTCTTCAAGAGGCTCCCTGCACATCCTTCACCTCGGTCTTTGCATCTTCTGCACCTCCAGCATCTTGGCCTCCATCTCTTGCAGCTCCAGCATCTCTGTTTCTGCATCTTCTGCAGCTCCAGCATCCCGGTCAGCATCTCAGCACCAGTGTTTGCTGTTCCCCGTGGGTCATGGGCCAGGGATGGCTGGGAGTGGGGAGGCCTGGATCACCCAGGGGTTATTGCTCTGCCAGGGGAGCCAGTGGTGGGCATGGGGAGCTCAGGGAGCCGGGGGGGAGGCGAGCTGGGACCTCACCAGGGCATGAGGAGCTGTTCATAGCCCTTCCTGTGGACCAAAGCAGGCAGGAGGGTGCTGGTAGGAAGCCTTGCTCACCCCAGCTTCCTGGTCATGCACTGCAAAGGGGTGGTGGTGTGCTTCTTCTGAGCATCATATTGTAACCCAAAAGGCCCAGTGCAGCATCCCTGTCCCCACTGCACTGGGTCAGCCGCCGAAGGGGAATGTTCCCTGTGTTTCATCCCTTGCAGGCAGGAGTCCTCTTTCCCCAGGACCGGGCTCTGCCCCGCACACCCCTGAGGTGCTGGGTGAGCAGCACGAGGTTCATGGCTGTGAGGTGGAGAGCGCTGAGGCCATCCTGAGCCATGGATGCTTCCCCACTGCCTGCCCCTGGCCTCACCCTGCCTCAGGCTGCAGGAGGAGGGATTGTCCTGCCCTTGTACCAGTGCCCATAGGGAGGTGGCTGCAGGGTGCCCCAGTAAGGGATGCCCACAGGAAGGCTGGGTGCTCCCTGCCAGCACCAGCTCCTCTGCCCAGCTTGGCAAGGGGCTGAGATCATGGGATTGATCCCTCACCATCCTGCATGGCCAGGGTGAGCAGGGACACAGCATGCTGCAGGGCTGGGCCCCTGAGTGCCCGGCTGCCCTGGGTCTGGACCAGGGTGGGTGACTTTAACCCATCACTCTTGAATGTCTTTATTGTGTCTGGGTGGCTGCTGAGCAGGATAAATGCTCCTTACAGCAGGGATGGGCTGTGTGAGGAGAGTAAATCAGTGCAGTGCATGCTAAAGCACAGTGAATACTGCCCTTTGGCGCCCGTCTCTCACTCCTTTTGTATCTCCTTGTACTGTGTTTATGGTTTCTGTTTCAGTGCCTCAGCTGCCTTTTCTGCGCTTGGATGTGATAGGAGCACTTTGAACCGTAGCCCTTCCTGCCTGCTGGAAACTGCAGGGGTTCAATTGTCAGGAAAATCTCAACACCAAATCAATGTCCTGATGCTGCCGGGGAGGCTGCAGAGCTGGGGAGGCTCCCCCAGGGCTCCAGGTGAGCATGGAGGAGGGAAAAGCAAACTTGAACAGGGGAGACTGAGCTGAGCTCTTAGGCAGAAGCTCTTCCCTGTGAGGGTGCTGAGGCGCTGGCACAGGGTGCCCAGAGAAGCTGTGGCTGCCCCATCCCTGGCAGTGCTCAAGGCCAGGTTGGACACAGGGGCTTGGAGCAAGCTGCTCCAGTGGAAGGGGTCCCTGCCTGCGGCAGGGGTTGGAGCTGGAGGAGCTTTAAGGTCCCTTCAACCCAAACCAGGCTGGGATCCTGTGAACCTCAGTGATCAGGGGTCTGAGCATAACCCCCTGATATTGGGCACTGCAGCATTTGAAGTACAACAGAAAGAAACCCGGACATTTTGAAGCAATGTGTTTATTAGGTATGCTTAAAGATGGAAGAAGAAAAGAAAGAGAGACTTCAAGAGGTGCACAGACTGCCCTATCACATGCTCTACACCCAGGTACAAACCCAGAACCACTTTGGACACCAGACCTGCTGTAACTGCAGACGTGCCAGGAGGTTGCACATGGAGTGCTTGGGGTGAGGTGACACAGACCGGGATGAGACCCAGGTGCGAGGCAGCAGCACGATGCCCACCTCTGATGGGCACAGACACAGCCCCGCTGCTTGTCTGCCTGTATCCCTGGTACCCCTCCTGCCTCTTCAGGCCCTCTCCCCGCACACCCCCCCCAGCATCCAGCATCTCTTCCGAGTCCCTCCTCCTGCTCATCTCCAGCTCTCCCCAGTCCCACTGGGCAGGGTGGGGATGAGGAGGGAAGAGGTTGGAGGCAGCAGGGTTGGTTCTGGCCGGGGCAGCTCCTCTCCCCTCCCAGCCCACCTGAGATTCCAGCCGGTTCTGCTGCCGCGGGGCGCGGGGCTCAGCACACGGAGCAGCTGTTGGTCTTGTTCATGGGAGGCCTCAGCGCCTGCTCCTTGGGCAGCGTCTCCCTCCTCTTGCAGAGCGCGGGGCTGAGCCGGCCGGGCAGGTTGGCTTGCTGCAGCAGCTCCCGGAACACCTCCAGCACGTTCTCGTTGTCCTTGGCCGACGCCTCCACGAAGCGGCTGTTCCAGTCCAGCTCCACCAGCGACAGAGCATCCTCCACCGGCACCTGCCGCTCGCTGCCGCTCTCTGCCTTGTTGCCGACCACCACGATGGGAGGGAATTTGTCTTCCTTCACCTCCAGGATCTCCTCCCGCAAGCTCTTGACGCTCTCAAAGGACTCGGCATCATCTACGGCGTAGACCAGGGCGAAGGCATCGCTGTTCTGGATCGAGAGCTTCCTCATGGCCGGGAAGGAGTAGCTGCCACTGGTGTCCAGGATCTCCACCTTGACCGTGGCCCCGCTCACCTCGTACTCCTTGCTGTGCAGCTCCTCCACCGTGCGCCGGTGCTTGGGCTCGAAGGTGTCCATCAGGAAGCGGCGGATGAGGGCTGTCTTGCCCACGCCGGCAGCACCCAAGAACACCAACCGCACGTGGTTCTTTTCCTTCACCACCAGGGACATGGCGCAGAGGGGACAGGATGCTCCGCCGCTGGTGCTCACCTCAAAGGGCTCCCTGGATGGCCGCAGCCCCGGTGCCTGTCCCTCTGTCTGTCCTCCCCGGCACCGGCTCGTTGCAGGCAGGGAAGTTTGGTTCCACCTCCCTGCAAACTTCTCCCGGCTGCTCTGCCGCTGCAGTGCCCAGGTCCAGCTCGTTTTGTATCCTGCCTCCCCTCTGCCATGTGGCACCCGGCCGTCCAATCTCCGTGGGTTGTGGGTGCTGAAGGAGGAGGGCAGGGAGGGAGGAGAGTGGGGTGCTCCGGGCCAATCCGCGGAGCTCAGTCCTGGGAAGCCACTGCAGCCCTGGGGAGCACCGCGCTGCGTTGCACATTGCACTTGCATCTCTCGCCACTGTCAGTAGCGCCAGGGAGCCGGCAGCGGTGCAGCCGTCACGCTGCGCAGGCTGCCCTGCCCTCCTGTGCTCCCTGGGGATTAACCTGTGGTACTTGGCATGGGCTTGCTGGCAGCATCCCTGCTCGGCAGTGGTCCCTCGCCCATTGGGTGGCTCATGGCCGGACATGGCAGGAGCTGCCCGATGTCACCCACGGTGTTTCTTACACTCACCTGCACCTGGGGACTTGTTCTCACACAGGGGTGCTGCAAACGCCCCCAGCTCTTCCTTGGACCCATGAGATATTTGACCTGAGGGGAAGCAAAGCTCTCCCTGAAACCCGTGTGTCAGAACAGGCACATTCAGCTGCCCGTTGCTCTGTGACTGATTTAACCTGAGGGGCAAACAAGATCTCCATGAAGCGATGCATCAGGGCCCCTGCGATGCTGAGGGTCATGGGCAGGAGCACCGGCTGTGACCTGCTTCAGAGAAACCCCACAAGGGCTGCTGGGTTCATCAGGCCAAGAGGTGGGATGTGTGCCCATGCCCGTCTCCGCGTGGATGGGCATCAGCTCTGGAAGGGAGTTTGCTCATAGAGGTACAGGCTGCCCCGTGTTTCCTCAGCAGTCACCGTCCCTATTTCATGCTACGGTTGGTTCAGAAGCTGATTTATGCCAAGTGCAAACACAAAGGGAACTTGCTCAAGAGCTAAAATGAGTTTTATCTTCTTACCTTTGTGCGTGCATGGGTTTTTCCTAGCTTTGGACCCATTTGTGTAGTTTAGATGCAGTCGGTTTTCTTTCCATAGCAAAGCTCCAGCTTTTGGTTCTGGCTGAGTTAAGCCTGTTGATTCCAAAAGCCCTTTTCACAAGAATTATTCCTGCCTCTAAGTTCCCCAGTTGTTGTCACACTGTAGGAGCGCTGAGGACTGAGCCTCAGGAGTTAGAAGATGCTGAGGACACGGAAGATGTAATGGCCCATCTATAGGACCTTATGTGAGCCAAAGACCAGGGGAAGGGATGGATGAGCTGCGTTTAGGCACGTGAACAAAGCAGTGACCACAGGTTGGTGCCTGGTGTATCACCAGCATCAGTGGGAATGAAGAACTGAAGATGACGACAGAGAAGGGCATGACAAGTCACCTCACCCCAGCTTTGGAAGCTGTGTAAAGCCAAACCCCAGTTTTTTTAACTAGGAAAGACTTGGGTTAATGCCTCTTTGTGCTTAAATGGACAAAGTGATGGAGGCTTTTGGGAAAGGAGATGAAAGGGGTTTCCTGAGGTCCTCCCAGACAGCTATGGTGAAGCTCTGCAGGGCTCAGCCAGCCCTCAGGATGTGCTGGGGGCCTCTGCAATGCCCTCACTGCTGCTCTCTTTCCCAGTATTTTATTCCAAAGGGCCTCAAAACATGGATCTGTTCAACCTCAGCAGCACCCATCACTCTTACCGGTGCAGAAACGGTGCCCAAGGTAAAAGAAGAGGCAGGAGGGAACAGGGACCCTGGGCTCCAAACCTGGGCCTGGCTCTAAACCATCCCTGCTGCTGCCAGCACCTGCAGGAAAGGAGCTGCGAGCTGATGGGCACACTGGGAACACCAAGCAGTAACGCCAGCCATGGAGGGGCTCCCAAACAGTGCCCGGGAAGGTGACCCTGGTGCCCTGGGAGCCAGCACTGGGTCACTACTACTCCATCACCACCACCGTCTGCAGTCGTTCCTGTTGGGAGTGGATGTGTCCTGCATGGTGGGGCCAAGGTGAAGAGCCAGCCCTGGCTCTGTGAGACAAAGGAGTGTGCTGCAGAGCAGCAGCCCCACGCTGCAGCCGCACGCAGCCTGTCTGCACATCCCCAGTGATTTTTCACATCAGTTGTCTCCCCTTCCTTTTCACATCTGTGCTGCTATGGTTACCGAGAGCCTGAAAGGTTTTAAATCTCCCTCAGAGCAATGGAGGATTTCAGGGGTAATCTTGTTAAGAGATGAGCAATGAATATTTCCAAAGGCCTTTTGCATGAATATCTCGTTCCCTATTAGCTTCTGTCCACTGGCAGCAGGGAAAGCAAAGCACAGGGGGACTGTGTGCAATGAAGGGGAGAAATCAGGGAAGGATGAATGCAGTGACTTGTTTCCCACTTCAGCCTTTTGTACCCGGAATGATGTTCCTAAAAACTGTGTTTTCCGAGGGAGGCTTGGCCAGCTTGAGTCAGGGATTACACAAACATCATTATTTCGGCCTGGTTTTCCCCCAGGGAAAGACTCAGAGGCCCTTGATGGACACTGGGAGCTGGGGATGCTCATGGCTGAGTCCTACAGCAAAGCTCTGCATCCCTTAGCTGTGCACTGGTCCGATGAGATGGCTCCTGGCTTCAGCAGGGAGCAGCCAGGATCCATGCAGGGTTCAGTAACTGGGTGGGAGAGTTGGGTCCTGCACCAAGGGCATGTGCTGTACCCGTGGGGACTGGAGCGTGGTGCCCTGGGCTCTGTGCCTGCAGAAGGGACGGTGACGGCCTGAGGAGGGAGGAAGGGAGGGAGCTGCTGGTAGAGGAGTGCAGGCAGTGAGGGAAGGATGGGGGAATGACAGCAACGATGGGCAGGAGCTGGGATGGGGCATGGAGAAGCTGGGGTGGGTTTGGGGCAGGTGGAGCCCCACAGCTGCCATTCGCAGGCAGATTTGGAACAAGGGGTGCTTGGGGATATACAAGAGGGTTCTTGGTCACCCTTACCCCAAAGCATCAGCCACAGAGTGGTTGGATACCCTGGAGGGTGGTCCCCAAGGTCCCAATGAGTGCAGAGCTCGGACAGAGCCATGAGCTGGGCTTGAAACACCGGCCAGCTCCTGCCTAAGTGCAGCCCCCTTGGGCTGGGCAGCCTTCAACAGCCAAGATAGGGAGGTTTGGGGTGCACACACTGCTGCTTCCCACCATGGAAGCACTGGGGAACAGCAGCAGGAGCAGGGATGGGGGCAGAGGAGGGGGTTGGACCCCTGCTCCTGGGAAGAGCCAGCAGCACTTAATAAGGGAGAAACTGGGCTCTGCACAAGTATCCCTCTTCCCTCCCACTGCTGTGTGCATCCTGCGACGTGGGACATCATGGACCCTATTCCCATGCTCCTGAACCAGCCGATGGAGCTCTCCCAAACCAGGCCCTAACGTTCTGCCAGGTTCTGCAGCATCTTTTACAAATACCCACTCTTGCTTCACGGGCAAAGCCCTGTGCTTGGTGCCTTGAAGGGATTGTGCGAGGCTGGAACCCAAAAGAGCACAGGAACCTCTCCCACTGCTGCCCAGCTCTGCTGCCAGACCCAGCCCCACTGCAGCGCTGAGATGTGCCCCATTGAGACACCTGAGGAACAGCCCGTGCTGCTTCTGGACGTGGCTTTGGGGAGCAGCTATCTTGGTTGTCACGGTTCAGAGGGGATGGAGCAATGCTCTCTGAGGAGCAGCGGGTGCTGGGCATGGCTCCAGTCCCTGACGTGGTGCCCCAGTAACCCAGTGACATGGAGGGGAATGCTTTCCTGGCTGCTGGGAGCGTGTGCCTTGCCCATTGCTCACAGGCATCGTTATAAACGGGGTAGCAAACAGTTCTCAGCACCGTGACTCTTCTCCATGAGCTGGGCCAGCTGCTGGGCGCTGATGGAGCTGCTCATATGTGGACTGACTCCTGCAATGCCCAAGCACCCCATAACAGGACACAGGGGCAGCCCATGGCAGCAGGATGCTTCCACCCCACACCACCTGCTTGTGCCTCTGCCTCCTGCTTCTGCCCATGGTTATATTCATGGTGTACGTGCGAGCGGCTGCGTTTGCAGCGGTGCTGCTGGTGTTCGGGTGGGGAGGGGAGCAGGAAGCAGCCAGTAATGAGAAACCCCACAGACACCGTGTCCCCAGCTGCTCACCACCACGGGCAGGGGCCAGCGGTGAGGCCTCACTGCTCCCATATGGAATGAACCCTGGACAAGAGAGCAGGCAAAGATGGGAGTGGGGAGGAGAGGGCTGGCCCCACTGCCTGTAGCAGGGGTTGGCCAGGGATGGGGGCACCCAGCCACACAGGAGAGGGTTAAACCTCTCCCAGGGATTAAATCCGAATGTCCTTTGATTTAGAGGCAGGTGAGAGGAGAAACCTGAACCCTACAGCTTCCACCCCCACTTTAGGGGGGCCGCAGCCCTCCCGATGCATAGATGGATCATCCATACGTGGGGCCGCTGTCTGGAACAGCGTGTCACCGGATGGAGCCTGTTCCCAGCACTGGTGAGGCCACCGCGGGGTACATCCCACCCCAAGCAGGGACAAGCTGTGGCTTGGCTCTGTTCTGGGGGGCGGATGGGGGTGAGCAGCCCTGGAGAGGGTCACAGCAACCCTGCCTCCTGCCCCACTGCCTCCTTGCTGCGCAATGAACCCCAGGGCAAAGTGGGGTTGATGGGGAAGGCTGTAATGGCAAGGTTGCAGGAGCTGGTTGCAAGAGGTCAGGGCTGAGCTTTGCCCATAGCCCTGCACTGGGCATCAGTGGGGAGAGAGGAGGAGAGCAGGGCTGGATTTGGGGTCTTCCTGTGCTGGCAGAGGAGGAATGGGAGCAGATCCCTGCTGGCATCACCAACAGCTTCAGGAGGACCAAGGGCATCCTCATGGCATGCCCTGGTTAAGTGTATGGGATCTCCCTCAGGGATGGGGCTGATCCAACCCAGAGCTGCGCTCTTGGAAACCAATGTCACTTGTGCAGCCCTCGGTGAGGGTGCTCAGCCCTGGTGTCACCCACAGCAGCCGGGCATGGGGGCAAAGGGGAGCTGACCCTGGCACAGGCATTCCCCAGCTCATCCCTTCTGCACAAACCCCACCTTTTCCAAGCAAAAGAGGTCACCTCAGCTTTGATAACGGGGACCCAAGCTGCTGTTCTCTGCTGTGCCCCTGCTCCGAGGGGAACAGCACTGCGGAGGGGTGGGCAGCAGCACATGAACAGCCTGTACTGGACACGCAGGGTAACAACATCCAGCATCCCTGTAAACAAAGGCCTTGCTGAGGACTAAGGGGATTTAGCGCAGCTGCTCTGCGGCTCGGAGGAGTCTCTGCAGCATCTCTTATCTTGCCCTGGTGGGGATTAGCAGCCGGAGAGCAAAGCTCGCCCCTCTTTGGGCCATCACCGCGGCTTTTCCTCAGGTGACACCGGTGATGCTCTCTGTGGCCTTGCTCTTAGGGCATTGGGAGATGAAATATGTGATGCCGGGGTCTCAGATGTGTGTCCTGCAGCTCCGAGGGGCCTTGCAGGAGCAGGGCTCCAGCCCGCTCAGTGGTCCCGGTGTTCCCAGTGCCTGGCTCTGCCTGGTTTTGCCCGTTATGGTGGCATTAATGTAGGAAGCTCAGCCCTGGCACATGCCTTAACCTCTCGAGACACAAGA